ATTTTTTTTTGAAAAGTTACTAATTTTCTGCCCGTCACTTTTGCTTAGCAAAACAGTCTTTCACTGTTACGTCTGGTTGGTTTTGTTGTCAAAGAAACTCCTTTATGCGTCAGATTCTTTGTTTCATTGCAGTGTTAGAATTGCAAAGGAATAATACTCGTAGAAAGAGTAAACAAAAGAATCGTGTAGTGGGACCTTCTGCAGCACTAGACTGTAAAGTCAACTCCGCGGTTATTCCGTCAGAGGTAACTTTATAGGACTTCTCCGGTTATTTTGTGAGATCTCTGTGATGCTTCGTTATCTTATCTTGGTTTCTAGTTATTTTTGAAAAATATGCTCATCATTTCTGAATAGGAATTTGAAAAATATTATTTCGGTAGAAGTGGGGAAGGAGGAGTGTTCAGAAGTCCATCTTTTTCGGTCACATTGCTGCGCAAAGCTTAAACTTCGGGTAGGATTCGAACTCACAGTGTACGCCTTTCTGATTTTCTGCTTCCTCAACTGAGCCAATGAGAAGCTTTTTTCAACTCTACTTAAATCGTAACTTATCAAATTCGCCGGCTTTATTGCACCTTCTGCAATAGGAGGAAGTTCTATTTTGTATTGGTTTTCTACAAATATTAAAAGAAATTCCTCTAGTTTGGAACCTTTTTTTTGTTTTGGTGACACCTTTTGTTCAGGAACTGCAATAAGATTTAAATCGGTAATGAGTAGCACTTTTCAACATTTACTTTTGTGTTTTCAGTACTTTTATAGGTTTTCAATTCATTCATGTTTCCCTTTCGAACCTCTTCGTATGTTCGTCTCTTTTTTCGTTATTTTTTTTCTTTGATAAGCACTGGGTATGAAGTGGAGTAGAACTGGGGTTGCATAAATAATAACTAAAAAAATTTAAATACAACTAGTTTAATATTTGTTGCTTGCCTTATAAGCTTATTTGAATATTGGATAAGGCTTTGGCGAAGGGTCTTTTAGATGCTTGGCTTTCCCCTTCTTTGTCTGCTGTTAGACCCGTTTAGTGCAAATACTTTCCAATTTTTTATTTTTTAAAGCGCCTAGCTTCACAGTGAACTACAAGAATACATTTCTACTGGTTAGTCGAACGCACATTGCAAGCCAATTTAGTAAGGTTGCTTGATTTTTAAACTGTGTCTTTAAAGGCTCTTACTCTGTGAACTGGAGATAAGAGGTTTAAATGAAGGCAGGCCTTGAAAATTAGTTCTGGTAAGTAATCATAATGAAGCGCTTAGTTTGTCAGTTGTGAAGGGGGGAAAATAAAGGGTTTTGGATCGTAAAGTTATTAACTTTTTTTGGTTACGTGTATCTCTTTGGCTATATGTTGAATCTGCGCTACATGCTACTTCATTTGAGTATCTTTTCAAGTGTTTTAGGACCCCGTTTCTACGAGTGATCTAGTTCGCCAACCTGCTGAGTATGGCTTTATCTATTCCGTTTGTTTCGTCTTTGTTTTTAAAACTATTTTTTCCTTATTTCAATATAGTTTTAATGATTTCTGCCCATGCTAACTGTTGATACTTTACGGGTTTCGGGCTCATAAATGTTTGGGATTGCTTTTTCAGGGAGACGATTGCTGATGAACTTTTGTGCAGTGACATTCCAGGTGACTTACGTTTCCGTTACGTCTTTTTTTAAAGAGTTTTAGTTGCCGTTGTAAATGAAATCCCGTTTGCACGCACTGGAGATTGTCAGTGATTATTAATTGTAGGTCCGTCCTGTTCGAAAAATCATACGATTAGTAATGGAGAGATACTTAACAACTTGAACAAAAATAGCAGGTTACTTGTGGTTTTTTATTTTTTGCAAAGGGTTTTGCTCTTCCTCAGTTAAATTATTCTTGTCATAACAGGTTTAACTGTTTATTCTGCTGACGCAGAGCTTTGTCAGTATTCCATATTACCTAGTGGATTTAAGTCTAGCCTCCGAAAGTTTAAATGGTTATTTTACTAAATCTCCTTGATCTACAGTAGGCTTAAACATTTTGACATAGGCTGCTTAAGTTTAACTCACAGACTCGTCTGTAGTATAATTCTAATTTTTTTCAGCAAATAAACTGGTTTATTTGGTGAAGAGGATATCTAAACTTTCAGGCAAGTAGCGATGGATGCTTCAATAAGTGAAAGCGGGGATGAAGACTATGTTTTAGATGATTCGGGTGAAGGTGTGAGCGAAGCTAGTGATTCGTCATATTCTTATGAAAATTTGAACAGTACGAAGAAGAATGTCAGGTAGACATCTTTACAGTTATCTTGTTTAAAATACCTCTTGTGCAGAATTACTTTTAGTGATTTCCAGCAGTTGAGAGGTGGCAGACTGTAGGGAATATATTTCAGAACTCGCAAACGGCAAAAAGGTCGAGATTTCTTTGCCTCTGATGTTCCGTGTAGTAGTGGGAAATCTAAACGGAGAAAGCGCAGTAGAAAACTAAAATCATCATCTACTGAGTCCCAAGTTGAAGATGGTGTTAAAAAGAAGAAGAGAAGAACCAGCAAGCACCAACGTAGGAATAAATCTTCTTATACTAAAGAAAACACTCCTGAGTCAGGAGAGCTTACAGATGAAAATTCCCGGACAGTTCGGCCGCGTAGGTCGCGTTATAATAACGCAAAATATAATGAAGATGATGAGCCAGAGGAAGGGCACGTAACAAATGCTAACATTAGAAGTTGTCCACGAAAGCTGCGTTCTCATAGATAGTGGAATCAAAACAGAAAGTTTGAGTATTCAAAGTTTATACCAGCTGTTCATGATTCGTTTGTTTTGTTTTTGTGCCTTCTTTTGGTTCAGAAAAGTTGTTGTAGAGTTTATGTTTTTGTTTTCTATTTGATTGATATAATTAGTGCTGTGATATGTTTCTGAATGGATTGTGCTTTCTTTAGCCATTTGCTTTTCTGCCGTTCATAACCTCTTCAACAAATATTTTGATGCGGAGTACTTGGCATTTTTGATTTATTATCAGGATTTATGAATTTGAAAATACTTAGTAGCTAAGAATTAGTTTTTTACTTCAAAAAAACATTGCTGGGTGCAAAGCATATACTGTGCAACTTAACTTCTCTGTTAACAATGCTCTTTTCTTGTTGAATTAGACCAGATTTGCGTCCACTGTTTCCTCAGTTTTACTTACACGTAAAACCTCCGCATTATACGCTTGTGATGATTGGCCCACCGCATATATGCACTGATATTTTCATCAAATTTTGTTTTCCGGTCGCCAAACCGTTTTAAGTATTTGTTGATATGTTGTTCTTTGTATATCAGTATTAAACCCCCTAGATGTCACGATTACTCTGATCTCCATTAATTTTAATAATGTCGTAATTATGAGATTTTATTTTGTTTTCCAGATCACTTATGATGTGTCACGTCCTACCACGTGTTTTGCTAATCCAGCCAAGATCTTTTCTTTGCAGGTCCGCCTGATGGTTGAGAAGTTTTGAGCCTCACTGACTCAAAATAAATATTCCCTAATGTAAATTATAGAGATGTAAATTATAGAATCGCGTTTCGAGTTTAGTGCATTTGGGACCACCAAGTGTCCTGTTCATCTCACTGCTTTGTCCTTGAGAGACTGGATTTATTTTTGTGATGCTTGGAGTTGCTATTTTTTGTGTCTAGCAATCTGTGAGGTGTGAACTGAGGTGGGTACGATGATCAGTAAGTGATATAAGGAGTGCCTTAACTTAATGAATCGTACTTTGTGTTGGAGAAGCTTGTTTTTTCTAGGTAGGCCGCTGACGGCGTCTTAGTGTGCAGCAGTTTGGCCTCGGAGTGGAATTGGTAGTGAAGTCGTTATGACTTTCTGATGAGAGGGAGGTGGGTGCTCGGAGTCGGTTTTGGGTAACGAGGAGTTGAATGCAGTTGTGATAATACAGTTCGTGTAAAAACTAGTGAGTCATTGCAGTTGTGGTTGTTAAAAAGTGCTCCTCCTGAGTTTCTGGGGACTTAATGGAGAGAGAGCTTCTTAGCAATTAAGCAACTGAGGTTTGAAGGAAGAAGCTTTTCGTCTTCAAACTCAATTCGCAAGTGTAATGGAGAGGGAAGAGGCCGTGCTAAATGGGAATTGTGGGAGCGTAAGAGGTAGGAACGGTTTGAAAAATTTCTATTGCAAAGGAGGAAGTTTCAATCAACATAAGACTGGGAAAGTAGGCTTTACTAAAAATAGCTCTTACTGTAACTTGCAAGGGTAGGGCGCCTCTGATTTATATCGCTCAAATTTGTGCGGGGTTTTCATACCAGGGTTTTTTGTGTCGTATATTGTTGAGAAAAGTAAGGTTAGTGTAAGTTTAGATTTTTTCTTAAACAGAAAAACTTAACAGTTTTCGGGATGGCCAACTTTGCAGCTGTGTCTGGTAAGCATAGTAAGAGCGTTAGTTGTAAAGAAGAAATTGATGGCTCGGTTGCCTTTGGAATGTGAGGTTCTTTAAAATAATTCGGTCTTATTTGTCAAGTCTTATTTGTGGGCTGTGCAGTCGGTGGGTATGGGAGTAGCGTATTGAATTGCTGACGGAGATGCAGTGACATTAGGGCAGCAACCAGCACCGTCGAAAAAACAATGGTCTCCCCTCTGGAACGGCTTTCTTTTTTAATTTCAAGCCCAATGTCACTTTCAGGGAGACTATTTCGCTCGCTTTGACGATTAATTCCTTAACTGAATGTAAGGTGTTCACAGAAGTCACGCAGAGATCGAGTATGGAAATGTGAGCGAGACACTTAAATGCTTTATATGATGACTATAAGCATCAGAGCGAAAAATCGAAACGCCAGCACATTAAAGGGTTGAAACCTCCGTTTGAATGACATTTACCATAAGGGTGAAAAGAAGTGGCAGAATTCAAAGCAAGAGAGCTTAGAGTTGAAATGGAATTAGTAACGAAACTTCACTGATTTTTGTCAAATGTAGAAATGTTGCTGAAAACGGAGAAAGACCGGATGAAGCTCACTTTAGCTTGCAAAACGACCGTATTTAGCAAAGTGTAGGAAGTAGACATGAAGAACTGTTTTCTAAGCTAGTAGAAAACTAATGAAGGGAATTTGCTAAAGTCCGCTACAGAAATCCATTTTTTTTGCTGATGATGTATCATTGTTTTGTTTGAAGTTTTTGACCCAGCCACGTCGTAATTTCAAAAATACTCCCAACTCTCCCTTGCTGAGGGTCGCGTGCCTAGTTAGACTTCTCAAACGTTTTCTTTTTTCTTTTGCCTTGATTATCTAGTGAAGTAAAATTAGATCTACTTTTCGTTCTGTTCTGTCCAATGCCTACCGGTTAACTGAGTTTGCTGCGATCTCGATCAAGGTTAGTTCCCATCCGCAAAACGCTGGAAAGCAAATCTAAAATGTTTCAAAAACTTACACTTACTGTGCACTAGGAACTGGGGAATGCCTTGCTTCAAATAATCAAACGAACTATCCATCCTGTTTGGGAGCAATACAAAATTAAGCTGGAATGGAGCTCTCAATTCACGAGTTGAAAAGTTTTGTCAAAATAGTCACCAGTATCAGCCCTCCATCTCTACCTGAGGAGTGGCAGCACACTTCTCAGAGGTTTAGCATTTTTACTGTTAATAAGTCACCGTTGAGAAAGCTTCTACAGAGTTATTTTTATATCGCTTTTATGACAAGGATTAAAGAGGGAGCAAGTACGGGACAACAATAAGGAACTGGGAAAATTTTAAAGGTTTAAGACGAGTAAGACTGCGACACTCTCTGGAACTACATCTTCTTTATTAAATACCTCGGTCTGCAACAAAACAATTACTGCCACAACAAGATGAAGTACTTGTTTACAAACGATTTAATGAACTGAGAGGAGGAATAATAGTTAGTGAGGGCTGTGACTAGAAAAATTTATATAATATTCAATAATGAGATTTGTTTACCAGCTTTTCTTCTATTCTGATTGATAGATGTTGAAAAACTTATTTTTTAGAAGGCAAACTCAAATTTTAATGTCTATATGAAGTGAAACCTCTATGGCGATATAAGCTGGTACTTTTACAGTAAGAATCAAGGAGGATTATAAAAGTTACATCATCAAAGAAGTATACAAACCATTCAAGGCAGTTACTGGGGAAAGCGGGAAATCAAAAGGAAAACTACAGGAAAAACCAAAGAAGACTGGAGTTACAAAAAGAGCAGAAAATGAGCTGTACAAAAAATACAATTTAAAACCTATTAAGCTCTCAAGGGTCGCCGCTTCCGTTGAAAGACTGTAGCTAAACCTACTGTCAATTCTGCAAACAAAGTTCGGTTTTTTATCCTTCGCTGGTTCCATTCGGTGCCTCATCAGGGCCTTTAATAAAAGTATAATGCATTTAATAAATTCGATTGTCAGCGTTAATCACTGCTTACCTTCAAGCTGTTTCAACAAACTGCCCATGTTGCTAGCTATGTCGTCTGCAGCGTGCAAAAGGTCGCCCTGCAGTTCAGTAGTTGGAGCAAAAACAGGTTGCTGTTGGTCGCTTTGTTTACTGAAGGCATTTTTAACCTTACAGCCGATCCCACTAAGTGATTCCCTACCTAACGTACTGTTTGGTGTACCCCTTTTCTTCTGAAAAAAAAGCTTTCAAAGAAGAAAGTTAAACAAGTACTATTACTAAATTAATGACATAAAAGCAAATGTTGGCACTCTTGTCGATTGACGGCCTCAGCGCACTGATTGGCTAGCTGGTTTTTGGAGGGAAAGTTGAGGAAG